AAGAGTTAAATTGTCCTCAAAGGAGGAAAAAAATATCCAGAACTTTGGTTGCTGTAAACCTGTGCAATTGTGCTGACTTGCACCATCCAAGGACCTGGTTTGTTTAAAAAAAAAATTTGATTCCATCCTTCAAGAAGTAATTACAGTTTGTTGTAACTGGTTTTTTCTTATTTTAGGTTTGTTTCCATAAAGCCTGATAATAGAAAGCTGATTAACGGTACTAATGTGCTAGGCCTGCTCCTTGACACTTTACTCAAAGATGGATTTCGCCTTATAAGCACCAGGACAGTCTCCAGTGAAGAAAAAGTTGAATGCTACAGTTTTGAAAGGAAGAAGAAGCCAGCAGGCCTCAATGTCACCGTGAACCAAGCCCCAGGGAGCTTGAGGATAGCACAGGCAAAGAGAAGCCAAGTGCAGAAAGGGAAGTAAAGCCTTTTCCCTGTCATCTTCTGAAGGAGGAAGAGGGGTGTGTCAGCTCTAGCGGCCTTTTTTGTTGGGTTGTTTCAAACTGCAACTATTGAGGGAAGTAACAAACAAACAATTTTTTTTTTCAAGTATTCAGGAAAAAAAAATTGCTTTCCTGCCTTTTGCCACTCCACCCTCTTCAACTCTAAATAAAGGAGCCACAGATTCAAGACTGGGTTTGTGGACCAGATTCCAGCATTTTCAAGGGTTGTTTTTGTTTTTCTCTGTGGCTAAAATTTATATTAGGACTCGCAAAGAATTGGTCATTCCTTTTAGAAAATGGTTTTTATGCTCTGTGCTAATCTGTAAGTAGATTTTAAATACATGATAATACATGAAGAAATAACAGCTTGACACAACTGTGATCCCAGCAGTTTGGAGAAGTGGCTGGAGAAGGAATGCAAACCTCAACGATTTAATATCACTCTGCTTTCAAAAGATACTCGTACAGTCTTTCTCTTGCAGTTAGCTGAAAGCAGCATGATGGAAACATCCCCAGTTGTATTGCTGTGTGGCTCCAGGCGTGAGAATGTGGCTTTGTGAGGCCACCACCAGTGTCCATGAAATAACGGGTTACTGTCTCTTGCAGAATACTCCTCTGTCCTCTCTTCGGTGCTGAGAATTAAATGATGAAGGT